CCCTTCATGAACTCCAATGCCCACTGCCTCGACATCCTCAGCTTCCACGTCCACCGCAGTACTCCCACGCCTGTGGGCGGTTTGCTGAGCGATCCCGAAATAGATGCCTCGCAGCGCTCGCATGATATCCGTAACATGCTGGTGATAACCCAAAACAGACGCGTGTGTAGCTGCGAAAGCAACGTCCCGGTTCAGATTTGTCTGGCCTGCCAAAACATCGACCTGATTGTTCCAGTAAGCCAGCCACTCCTCCAGAGGCGACTCGCAAGTCTCAACATCCAGATGACTCGGGACATGCTGCGCATCCAGCTCATCATTGGCGTAGCACGCCACCAGGGCCGCAATCTGCCTCCAAAGATCGACATTCGCTACCGGGAGCCATGAAGAATCATCCTGGAGTTTGCGTATGCCTTCGGCACCTCTCAGTGAGTCCGTCCAGAGAACAACCGAAACCCGAACCCGTAAACCCCATTTAAGAGCGGAGATAAGGGCCCACAACTCTGCTCTTGGGGCACACTGCATGAGGCCAGGGACCGGTCCAGAACTGAGAACAGCTCCGGAAGTAGCATTAACAACACCCCAAGCGGCAAGGGCAAACTCGGCCTGATGTTGCATCAAGCACGAGCCGTCAGTGAAGAGGTGCTGCTTGCCATGAGTGGCTGCAGTGGAGACAAAGGCGTCCGAAAGATCGGGCAACGCATTCAACCGAGAGTGCAGCGCTTTAAGGTGCGGATTGACTGGCGGCAGCAGATGATGCGTCAGACAAGGAGGGAGCTGATGCCATTCATCGCAGACCCACGCAAAGGGAGCCCGAACATCAGCATACAATGGACAATGACAGACCCTGTGCTCACGAGTGTCAGGAACCGCGCAACATGCACAGAGGCCAGTCTTGGAGAGATCGAACTTGGCATGGGCATGATCAAAGATGAAGGCCCCGGAGCGCAAGGCCGAGAGACGAGCAGTGTCCAAACTAGACAGAGTCCCCGCATCTTGTCGCAAAAGGCTCAAATCAATAGCCTGCATGCCCGCCATAGATGGACGATGTGCATGAGAGAGGGCTACATACCGAAGCCATGCCGCCTCCAGCCTGCGTCGGAGCAGGCCTGAAGGGACCTCGAGTGCATCAAACTCAAATCCATCATGATCAGTGACTAAGGGAGGAACCCCTATGGACCAGCCGATTTGCGACAATACTTGCAAGAGTTTGTGAAAAGGGCCATGGCCAGTCTCGCCACCATGCCATTCGCGAAACAGTCGCCACCGACGCAAGGCCGAAGGGTGCTTGCGGCACATCCTGCGCAGATCCAGGAAAGTCACCCAAAGCTGATAAAACCCAGGATCACAGGTCAAATCAGAGTTTATGGACAGCCGGAGAAGGGCACTGGACCCTGCTGCATTGGCACGCAGGGCTCTGACAGCAGAAGCTCTCAGCGCGGCTAGCTGAGCATCCGCCAAAGGGCACCCGGAGACGCCGTGCAAGGCGCGCCGCCATAGCTTGCATGGAAGAGCAGCCAACTTTTGGGCCAAAGGAGCCGGGGATCTGCGAAGCTTAGCAAAGATTGGAGCAAGATCTTTGCAGCGTTGCACCAAGAGGGCATTGCGAACAGCCTTGCCATAAGAAATGATGCCCCCCAAGTCTCGGGCAGAGTCAAGCACCGAGAGGCCAAGCGCCCTGAGTTGCGAGCGCTGGGCAGGCTGCACAGCCCAAACGTACGTTTTGGCATCGTCAGCCTTCAAATCAAGCAAGTCCAAGAAACAGCCAACAGTGTTGATGCCTTGGGCAAGCTCGCCAACATTCAGGGCAGTGCACGACAAGTTGTCCACGTAACTGTGCGGTGTGACATTCATGGCATACGTCTCAACATAGTGGTGAAAAACCAGGCAAGCGACATTCATTGCCACCGTGCTCAACCCACACCCTTCTGGGAAGCCGGATGTACTGGAAACTGCGTTCCCAATGTGCTGGCGCACTACAAAATGCCGAGATAGTCCCGCGAGGAATTTACGCCATGGGAGCAGCACACGACGTGGAAAGCCGATTTGTGCGGCGATAGCCATCACGGGATATCTGGGAAGTGAATTGAAAGCTTTCTCCAAGTCTGTGGAGTAGCCGCACAAGTTGACATCCCCGAGGCAAGCAAGCTCAATGAGCGCCTCAAGCTGCCACCAAAAGTCAGTGGTTTCACGATTCGGCAAGAACCCCAGTGCGGTGGGCGGCATCACGCGCGAGACAAACCTAAGCAGTTGCCTTGCACGCAGACTGCTCCAGCAACGGTATATGACGGAGAGAACCACAATGGGCCTGTATCCCTGAACCCCAGGAAGGCCGTTGGGTTTGCGGAGGCTATGCACGAACCCCAACAGCCATTGGGCAGGCCATTCGCGTTCACCTGTCTCTAAAGCATTGAGAAAGTCCACGAGTTGCAAGCTAAGACAATCAGGAAGTGCCTTTAAGTCCTGAGCAGCAAAGCCATCAGGACCCCGAGCCGCCCAAGGCCTGAACCGCTTCAAGGCTTTAGTCCACATGTGCAAAGTGAGAGGCTGAAGCTCAAAGTCCCCAGTGGGAAGATGGGCAGCTGCAAAATCCAAAGCCCGCTGCCATGCTTCGGGCGCACAATCCGCGTGACGTTGCCATCGAGGGCCCCAAAAAGCATTGAATTCAGAAACCAAATCTGCAACTGAGGAGAGAGTCTGTACTTGCTCAAGCTCAGTGGCAGAAGACAAAGAAACACCGCGAACAACGCAGCATTGCGAAGAGACAACATTCACGTCGACGGGTTGACCGTCGAGGGTCCAAAGAGAAGAACCCCGGGTATCAACAGGGGCATCGACATGGATCTGAGACGTGGACTCATCCACTTCGAGCACTGCCAGTTCCTTCCTCAGAACCAAAACGTCGACTTTGCCCGGGCCAGGCTCTCGCAAGTCCCTGTAGAGCATAGTCTTGCTGCCTTCATACCGCTCGCTCAAAATGCGAGAGCGTTGACGCACATTCCAAGCTTCAAAGCGCCGATAATTTTCTCGAAAATCCAAGAAAAGCAAATGTGCACAGACAGCATCCGGAACAGAAACCGGCACAGAAGGAGGGGAGCCCTGCAGTCGGACAGCTCTTTGATGCCACCACGCGCAGAATCCCAAGTGAAATCCACGAGCTGATTTGATGGAAGCCCACAAGCCCAGCCTATAGTCAACAGCTGCAGCAGACATTTTCCCGGCCTTGAGTGACTGATCAAGGGACTGCAACCTGCGAAGCTGTTGAAACCAACGCTTGGTCTCTAACGACAAAAGGCTGTGAAAAGCACTTTCCTCCCCAGGACGGGAAGGCTTAGGTGGGCAAACAATGCTTGCGGGCTTGGGCCGAAGAGTGTGACCCCGTCCATGACAGCGTGCCGGCAAACACCTGCCAGGAATACCCGTGCAGTGGCCATCCAAGCTCTGCTCAAAATGCTGGCTAAACTGCTGAACCCATTTAGTCGAACAGGGACTATCAGCGGAGACGGGTGTGCAGCTGGCGTGCCACTGCCGTACGTCAACATGTTGCCAGGGAATTGCTGAAGGCTGCGGCCATGTGCGAATGGAATCAACCCCCTCCATCGCAAGGGCAGCAATTACTGTGCTATGTTCGGCAAAGACATCCCGAGTCTCAACCCAGGTGCAGAGTGAAGCGGCCTCGGGACTCAAGAAAACAAAGTCTCTCATGGTGGCGCCCTTGCAGGTGACGCAAGGCTCACGCCCCCAGCGCTCAAAAGCCAGTTGCTGGGCGCACTGCCAACCATGCTGTCTCCAAATGTCAACCTGCTCTACCCAAAGGGTCGAAGTGGTGATATGGGCACAACCTCCTTTATTTTAGCAGAGGGGACACTTTGGCCCATATGGCAACTCGGGTTTTTGGATGAAGACTATAAAACTTACTTATATCACACAACTTCGTAAAGAGTAATTCCTCCAAATTCCGCGAAAAGGGATCCGTTGAACTCGTTGAAATCGATTGAAAATCCTCGATAATTCTGGAGAGTGCGCTTGGAAGTAGATTTTGTGCCTGTGCAGTCTCATGGCTGCGTTTCATTGGGTGCGGTAGAGAAAGATATTAGAGGTTTTCCTACGTGAGTTTTTGCAAATTTGAGCGAGCAGTACACTGTGTGTGTCCGCTGCATTTAAAATCATGTATGGCATACAGGCTCGGAGCTGGCAAGATGTGTGTCCCATGCATGAAAAGCAGCTCTTGCCATCGTGCCTGGCAGTGAGTTATAGGGTCAGAAGTACCTTAAGTAGAGCGTTTAAGTACCAATTTTGGTAGACATTACGGGCTAAGAATAATCCCAAAAGTATCGAGCTGTTGCTGTAGGGATTTGAGGCAGCCTGTGCGATTTTGTGTGTGCCAGCAAGATAGGCCTTAGGAGGTCTTGAGGCAAAGATCGTATCCAGAAGTGCACGCATACACCTAATGCCGGGACGCTGGCTCATGCTTGACACGTGTGGGAAGTCCGAAGGTGCCTGCCGCCTTTTTTTGCTGCGAAGCTTTTACACCACAGGGTCCAAAGCACCTAGACAATAGAAAGTAAGCTTTAGGTTTTTACTTTATATGTCGTATCAGGCCCTAGGAGTAGGTATTCCTTAAGTTGGTACTTTGACCCTTTGGTGTGCGCATGTTTTTCATTCTGAGTTGCCACGTTGACGTGTGGAATCGAAAGCGCCATCAGTTTTCCTGTCTCACAGCAGCGCAGTGTTTCCGCATATATGGTTGACAGAGTGCATCGGTTATAGTAAGTACCTGTGTGTGTAAGCTACTTTCAAGGCCCCTCTTACAAGTATCTACCTTGTGCCGGCTCAGTGATAGATTTCTTTCTGACAGGGTGCGAATAATGTACTTGTAATATATATAGGGATATATATATATAGCTCGAAATCATAGGCACGCACACTCTTGCAGGGTCCGAAATCTAGATCTAGAGGGGTCTTGACCTATATTTGGTTCTGCTTGGCCCGTGGTAGCAGGGATGGTCTGCAACTTTCCTTCACTGGCTGGCGAGCCAGCGCCGTTTAAAGTCCTGGATGAGCAGCGCAAGCGCTGCCCATACGACGCAAATACGGTGCTGACTGGCAAACAGGTTGTGCGACCTCTTCGGTTCTTTGTGAGTGTTTCTTGGCAAATATCATGCAGACTTCACTATCACTGCAGTGCAATACAGCATGTACGAGCACTACAGCTAATAAGGATGCAGCCCTGAAGATCGTAGAAGCTCTCCGGCCGATTGTGGAGGAACGGCTGGAGAAAATCAAAAGCGACCCTGCAGCTAGGCTTTAATTCAATTACATATAACATGCAGTTATGAGCCGGCACACATGTGACCAAGGCAAGAGTCGTGATCAAAATCTTTGACACAAAAGTTGGCGAGATTGACATCGTAGATCCTGAGAACTACAACGTGATGAAGCGCTATATCACTGTTTGCATGAATGATGTCGATATTCACGACATTGTTTTGCCGACGTGTAAAGAGCACCGAGTCTGAGCCTCAATTTCTATCTCAAGGGGCCCGGGTGGAATCCAGTATATTTGATATCCGAAATTGCTACATAGCGGATGGTTATAGCCCAGAATTCCTTGCTGCTGTGTACCTGTATACTGTATCCCACGACATAACATAAATAGCCCGAATTCGAACATTATGATGAGGCTGCGATGTTATACATCGCCTGCATCTACGGATTCTTTAGCAAAGACTTCGTGAAGGTCAAAGGGTCGAAGACGAAGATCAAGGCTGGATGTGGTACATTCGCTTAATATATTGGGTTGTTAAAGGTCATGCGTGTGCTCATGTGTTTACGCAGGACTGGTATGAGCTCCAGGGGACGCGCCTGAAGTGGCTTGGATCCTACTTCACAGGTCTCCTGCATCGGAGCCCTCACGGCAGGATATTCTGCTGCTGCTGTTATCATGTTATTTACGGTACCGGTGAAAGGAGCTAAATTCCGATACGTGCAGGAAAATCGAGGTGGCGGTTCTGAAGACCCTCTTCTTTCGTGCTAATGGGCATGCGCCCCCTTCTCGCAAACCATCTTCTGGATCTGTTACAAGCAGCAGCTCATCTATAGAAGATCTTCTCGAGGTGCGGTAGCCGAGTAGTCATGTACGCATGCATATATACATTAATTAGTTTGCCCCTGGAAGGCTGATATTCGTGATCCTGATCAGCAACTGGCCAAGGATCAGGCTGCTCCCTTATCATAGGTGCACGTGCATAGTAAATTTTAAATGTATTATATAGCTTGAATGGATACAGGATGGACCAGTGGACGGTGGTGATATCTTGGATTCTGATGAGGACACATTTTCTTACAGCGTGTCTGTGTGAGTTTCAAACTAGCAATCAAATTTGCATGTGCAGGAACTCGCAGAGGAGTTTCACGATGTTTTTGGGCAGCACGATTATACACAGGACGATTGCTATATATGTACTGCGGGAGCACAGCTGCAGAAATTCCAGGGCCATTTCCTCATCTGTGCTGATACACACTATAACCTCGAAGTATAATACTAGCCATTGAATCCCTATAAGTTTTGGCATGGAATGTTAAGGTTGAAAACTCCAGTATTATAATAATGAAAGGGTTTATATTGTCTCCACCTTACGCGGCTCGTTGGGTTTCGGTTTCTAAATTGTGCCCAGCAATAAATTGTCAGGCTTGTTTGCCCTGGAATTCGATTTGGGCGGCTTGAGTGTACTACCGATAGGCAATGGAAGGCTATCATGATCATATTGGGATTTGCTTTCACCTAGGCCGCTTCTGGCAGCACAGGAGCCCCAAAGACGGATGATTATTGATTTTTGTTAAAGACTCAGGGTTTGGGTTTAGGATTTTGGATTTAGGGCTTAGGGCTTAGGATTCAGGGTTAACAAGATTTTAGTATTTAGGGTTTGTGAGTTAAGGCTGTGGGTTTAGGCTTATAGGGTTGAGATTCTAGGATCTAAGATTTCGGGTTTTACTTTAGGCCTTGCCCTTGAGGATTCAGGGTTTAAGGTATAATATCCTGAACCGTACTACTGCTGAGACCTGCTGGCTGCAGGCAATGGAAGCCTTAAACGACTCTGAGATGTGTCAGATCCTGGAGAGCTCGCCGGAGCAGGCACTTTGATGAATTTGCGTTTGTTCGTAATTTTGCAGAATTCTTTTTCGAGGATGCCTGCAAGCCTGCGCAGCCTGTATACGTACGCGTAGTGCTTACAGCTCCTACTGAGATTCCGGACGCTGGACAGAACTAATGACAAAGTTTGTTGCCATAGATGATTATTCTTATTATTACTATTATTTAGATTAGATCCATTGCAGCGGGGTATACATACGCATCGCCCAGGATGCGCAAGCTTCAGCTGCGAAGAGGAACCTTCGCGAAGACTTGGAGAAGGTGCCTAGGCTGTGTAGTACACCGCCATATAGAAATTTTAAAGTTAAAGGGTCCTTCAAAGTGCTAATATTTCATCTCTGGTATGCTTTTCGTAATAGTGTCACTACGTATAAATATATTATAAGGGAAGTATAAGTTTCCAAGCGGCGCCCTTTCAAAACTATATTAGAAGGCCAGGGGAGTATTCCTACGTGGCACTTAGAGATTGGGACCTGTAAATTTTGAATTGAAACCTATAATAGGATTACAACGGAATCCCAGGGTTTAGGGTTGCGGCTAATTCCAAGCTTTCTTATATTAAGTCCCATGTTACCAGGCACCCGTTAAGCAGTACCCGATTTGCATTTCAGGGGGATGAGCTCCTTTGTCGTTTTCTAGAGCAAGAGGGAATTTGCGAGAATCCGATAAGGGTAAGTTAAGGGCAGGATTAAGGTAGGGTCGAGGGTCTATATATATATATATGGCTAGGGCTTGAAATTAATGAGCTGCCGATGCATCCAGCCCAGGAGGCAGATGCTTCTGCGATGCCGCCAAGTCCGCCGGCCCCAGCAGCAAGCAGTTCGCCTTTGCTGGCTTCGAAGGCTTCTTGCTAGCTGCTGTGGTTTTGAATATAGTAATTTGGGCAGAGCTAGATTCTGATTTTTGGACTATTAAATATTGGGGGCCCCAACTACTGCCTCATGTGGAGAAGGTACATAAACTTGCACGTAGCGCTGGCAGGCGCCTTCCTCCAACGGTGCATTCAAGGTCAGATGGGGTGCAGAAGTCCAAAATGACACATACAGTAAAGATGGGGGGGCTGTGGGGTGATAGCCACCATATGTAGAATAGAAGTTCCCAGGCTAGAAAGAAAGTTCTCTAACTTGGCAGTGTGATTCCTCATGGAATTATGTGCTGTGCCTGCAGCAGAACTGAAATGGGTGGTCTCGTGGCATGACCGACAATACGGAAACTGATCTTGTAGGGGTGGGTGTAGTTATATATAGGGTCTTCTGCTCGACGCCCAAAGGGCCCAAGAACCTTATAAACAAATGCTTAACATTTGGTTCCCCCCTTCAAAAAGGTGTATATATATATACATACCAGGAGACCGTTTAGGGGAGACGATAGTACAGTATCGATATATTATATATATAAAGGACACTTCATAATTTTCCGTCCGAGCTTGCAAGGCAGAAGTGTTGAGGTTTGCTATACATATATGGGCTTTCGTGTCATGGGGATCATGTATGGAAACACACATATATATATATGCGGTTTGGGGTCTGGGGTTCAGCGAATATGCTACGTAGCTGACCAGGATCGGGCGCCCCTCCTGCCGAATGGGAACCTTCCATTCGAATTGCCTGTGACTATGCCTGAGCCTGCTGAAGTTAGCAGTCTTAGAACTCAGCAAGCTGAGCTGAGAAGACACTGCCGGGAGGACTGGCTATGATTGCATGGGATGATGAATAGGAGCAATAACTAAGACTTGTAAGGCCTCCATATTTGTTACTCAAAATTTTCTAGGGCCCCTACATGGCTTCCTACATAAATAGGACTTGTCTATAGCTCAGGTAGTGTTGGGATTCGCAGTTACGATCCTTGTAGTGTGGGTCTTCATGCTTCTCTTTCTAATATAACGCGGGCCCCTCCATGCGTATATTACATGAATACGTACTTGCCCCTAGACCCACCTGTGTCGGCTAGGTGCCCTGCTGGAGTACTTTAGGGGTTAAAAATGTCCCCGCTGTCATAAACCTTGTTCCCTATACCTCCGAACCCCCTAAACCCTCCTATCCCACACGCAAACCCTTTTGATGTTGTGCGCAGGAGGAGGCAGCGAGAAAGGCCTGCCGGACTGCGTGGATTCTAGAACGTACTAGATAAGATGCGTATTGTTTCACATACCCGATAGCAAATATTAGGTACCTATATATATATATATATAGGTACCATTTGGGGACTCATGGGAAGCTGGTGCAAAATGCTCATGTCTCATTATAGCCCCACAACGTTAACTACAGGAGGAAGCTGCCAAGCAAAAAGGTCGCAAGCGCGGCGCACCCAAAAAGGCTGCGAAGGAGAAAGCGAAGAAGCCACGCACCACTAATGAGCAGGACAGGGAGGATAAGCCTATGCATGCACAGGCCATGGCCAGAGAGCACGAGGAAGAGCCGACAGCTGTGAAAGGCGGGCCATCCCAAGCAACAGACAAGGACAAGGCCCCACAGGATGAGGAGGAGAACACCGCAAGCGGTCACCAGAAAGGGGAGCAGCACCCAGCAACGGACAAGGACAAGCCCCCACAGGCACACGCGGAGGAGGACCCCGGTCATCGTGAAGGAAATGAACAGAAGCAAACTGCGGGGGCACGGGCCAAGGCTGCTGCGAAACCAAGGACTCCCAAAGATGAAGCCAAGAAGCAGGCTCAGCTGCAGCGGGCGCAGGCATCGATCCAAAGAATCCTTGGGTTCGGTGAGTCGATGGGAGATTGCAGACCCCCCGCTGCTTTCAAGCCGGGCTTTGATTGGCAGAAATGGTCGCAGTTGTGACTGGTAGGCATTCATATCCTAAAGGGTCGAAGAACCTGTTAAGTAAATACTGCATAGGCCTGAGAGTATGCACTGAGAGCCTTTGGGAATCTAGATCCATCTTGGACAGGGGGCTTGATGTTGAGACCTATAAGTCTTACATGCAGATCTTATTTCAGGAGCTTCGCGGCCAAGCCCCCGCTTCTGCTTGGTCGTGATGACTGTGACCGTCAAGCTGATAGCATCACCGTTCGTTTGAACATGTACAATTTCTATGTCCAGACGGTGATTCGCCCGGAAAGCGGTACCCCTGTACTCTGCTTGCATTAATTATAACGGGACCAGTATACTTAGCCTGACCTCGCACATGACGTATATATATATATTATATCTATACACTAGTGTCTAGATCTTATATAATATTCTGTACTCTTGGGAATGCCGAGGCTCTAAATCCTTAAGCCTAACCCCTCCCCAAAGGGTCCTAAGTACCAATATAGGGAATACTTACCCAAACCATAAGGGAAGTTACTACTACAGAAGCCATACTTTGTACCATATAGGTACTTTGGACCCTTTGGGATAGTTACTGTAGAAGTCTGGCTGGTATTGCGAAAGCCTCGAAGTATAATCGGCCCCTGCAGTAGGCAACCTTCCAAACGCTGGCCCTTAACCGCCCTCTAAGGCCAACAAGGTTCTGAAAGACCATCTACACCAGAACTCAATAGGAGTTCATCACTGACTTTTTGCCTCATAGGCCTCCAGTGGTCTGGGAAAGGGGGGTGGAGCTGCTAAAGTTTTGGAGGTTCACTTTGACTTGCAGGTTCAAAGCGTAATTACAAGTTGGATTGTTGCGAAATTTTAACACCGCCTGGATTTACAGTCCCCCTTAAGTAGATGGAATATGGAGTATATGAGTATCTTCTTATACTGTACCCAAAGCCACATAAGGGGGATTATATCCATGAACCTGCAAGCAGGGTTCAGGCCGAGCGCAACGGCCAAGTAGCACATTTTGTTCAGGACTTCACATATTTAGGATTCCATACAAATTCTAATTGCAGGTGAATGTGTGTACTGCCTGAGGGCCAATATGTAGCATTAGGAGCGAGTCTCAAAATCCCAGATGTATGTTGGAAAGTCGTCATGGTACGGTGGACGTCTTCCTCCCCCTATCCACGCGAAACTACAGCTCACAAAGCTAGATCGGTCAATCTACGCCATATGGCGCAGTTGGTTCACCTTCTGCTTGCTGAATCTTGCACAGGTCACGCGCAGGTCTGCAAGTTTGCGAAATGTCCATAGGCAGATATTCTGGAATTTCATTCCTTATACCTCCAGCTGTAATCCAGTGATTTCGGCCTTTCATTATAGCTCTTCAGCTCAACCTACGTAACAATCACTTTCCTTCAGAGATTTCCCAGATCCTCACCCTGGCCTGCAAGAGTCCATTCTACTCGTTCCGTAAGGATAATTCGTTCAAAGGAATGAATCAAGCTTGCCCTAGCATACAAGTACTATATATGGGTCTTTCCATTAGTTGGGGGTCAGGAATTCATGAAAAGGAGCATGTTTGACACCTCCGATACATACCCCGATACATACCTCGATACATACCTCGATACATACCCTTATACATACCCCCACTATGTCCCTTTCGTCAAGAGCCCAGCACTACGAGCCATACCCCCTTACACCCGAAACATACCCCCAAAACATACCCCTGAAACATACCCCAATCCAAACATGTTTTTTGATTACGGCTTAGCCGGAAACACACATACAGGGATTGCTCTGAGTTGTTGGGGGTTCACGCTATTTAAGGGAGGACGCTTAAGCAGCTCAACCAAGCCAAAATACGAGAAGGTTGCTCTTGTTGAGAGTTGCTTCCCACAGCCCTAAACCCTAACGACAGCGGATCGCTTAAGCCTAACTTGTTCCTCATCAAAGAAGCTCGAAGGGGGTTCTCTGTCTGCAGACAGCCTGCACCTCCCCTACACAAGCATCGACGCCCGCGACATAATGTTACTCAAAAAGAACACGCCCCAAGCTGTAAACTCTGAACCCTAAACCCCCCCGCCCTACGTAAACCCTAAGCCTTAAGTTCTGAACCGAGATGAACTATAGTCTAAATTCCTTACAGGGGAGTTACATAGGGGATTATATAGGCGAGGATCACAGAAGCTATTAAGGGGTAATCCTAGGAGTTTAGACCATAGCTCAGATAACCAAAGCCCGGCTTCCTGCAGCCTCGCGCTGACGCTCTGCACTTCCGGAAATCAGTGCAGCGGATGGCTTCAGAGTCAAAGCATGCTTGCCTTCGTGCCCCAGGGTGCAGCAGCCAGGATTGTCGCTGAAGTGTGTAGAGGTGTACCTGGACATCCCAAACACCCAAATAACTCTTTTTTGCTCATTGTTTGCGGTTAAAGGCTACTATGATGGGGGAGGTGCAGGTAATTTGGGCAGATAGTAAAGGACCTCACATAACCTGACCCCAATGGTGGTGTATATATATATATATATGTATATATACACAGACATTTTTTGGAGTTGTTAGCCTGATGCCAAGCTCATGCGCCAGAATCACGCCTCGATACTGTTGCAGCTACTTGGACTCGATCTCCAATCTATCTTCGAATCCTTGAGCAATCCCTGCATACTGCCTCAGTCAGTCCTGGAAAAGGTCCCACATGAGTAGCTGTGTATCCTTGGTAGTTGAATATGCTAGTTCCCACAAATAAGTGAAGGGCACCCCAAAATAGACCCCAAAACATTGGAATCCTTATTAGTTGGATCCCCAAAAGGTACTTCTAATTTTGAATGGTAGTTTCAGTTTTCCTTTCCCTAATCTTAACATGACACCTATGTCCCCCCAATATCTACCCTTTTTTACTATAGCTTTAGTTCCTAAGAAAGCTACCAACATCCGATAATCCTTAATATTGGGATCCCCAAAAGGTACCCCTAATTTGGGGAAACCCCAACCTTAAACCCTAAACCGTATATACGCGTATAACCCCCACACAACCCCCTTTAGAAGGTACCCGTAATTTTGCAAATTTTGGGACCCCCCCCCATCTTTCCTAAGAAAGCCAGAATAACAGTCATCCTCTAAACTTTTTGTTGCACAGGGTTGAGGGTTTAGGGTTTAGAGTGTCAACTCCTTAAAAGGGGGTTATATAGGCGATTATACAGGGTTTAGAGAAGAGGGTTCAGGGTCTATTATAAACTCCGTAAACGGGGGTTTATAAAGGGGAGTATAAAGGGTTTAGGGATTGGGGTTTAGGATTTCAACTCCTGAAGAGGTGGTTTTCGAGGGGAGTATATAGGGTTCAGGGATTAGGGTTTAGGGTCTAAGATTTTAAGGGTTATGCAGGGGAGTATTACAGGGCTTACCAAGGGCGATATTAGGAGTTTAGACTAGAGCTCATATGATGCCACTGTCTGCCGTTTATCCACAGCATACACGTCCCAGCCCACAGCCGCCAAGAAGATCCGCAGCCCAACAGCGCATGTGAAAACCTTCACTTAAGACACTCCCCAGGCACAGGTGCTTGGTGCTTCGGGTATCGCATGTTCGGGCCCAGGCTTTGGCTTCTAAACCTCCCCTACTTTCCACCAGATGACCCGCACTAGCATAGCTAACACACGCTTCTCTCGCGGTGCAGCCTCGCGCGGCTTGCAGAAGAGGCCCTTTGGAGGACTCAGTATGTGGGGATTGTCCTAAATTACTGTCAATACGGGGTCCTATATTTAGGTTCCTATTATAATACGGGGCCCTATATAAATTTCTCCAGTTTGGGGGGGGAATTGATCAGTTGACTTCGAACTACCGCTAAACCTCCAAGATCCTAGAGGACTTGGGTTTATAGCCCCTTCTTGAGTAGATAGAATATGGGTTATATAGAGATCTTATATACCCAAAGCCATATTCCAGCTACTTAAGGGGGACCATAGGGTTTTGTGTCTTGGGGGTTGCCATCCTAAGGCTGATCTTCACCATTTTTTCGTGCGTAGTCTTTGTTTTTTTTTGTAGGGCCTACTAAACTTCGTAGCTGGGCAGGAACACACCACAGTTTCAGGGCTTCATCACGGAAAACAAAGTGAAGACTTGTTTTGGCACAGGGAACTTAGCAAGCTGGACCAGGGCCTCTTCTGAGGGTTTTTAACAGGGTTTAGGTTTCGGGTTTGGTTTGAGAAGTAGGATCGTTGGGGCAGGTTCCTAAAGCAATAAGGACTGATTGTTTTTTGAGTACGTGAGGGCCCGTGTTTGGAAATAAGCATGCCTGACTGATGCTTCTTTTGCCATGCTACTAGGTTACCAGGGTGCCAGGCGCAGCAGTTCAAGATTTGGCATCGCCATGACTGGTGCTTCCTGACTTAGATGTTAAAGCTTTGTATTCTTCATTAGCAACTTAGGGCCACAAGGATCCCCCGGAGGCAAGCATCTTTCCACCGCCCTTTGCCAGGAGTGTTTTTGTTGAAGTCCACGTTTTAATCCCCTCCCGCTCATTTTAAAAAAACACATCGGTAGTAAAGAACATTCCCTCTAGAGATATTTTCTTATATGTTTGAATCTGCAACTCCAAATCTTCAGGCAAATGGTGGCAGAAGCCCAGACTAAAGCCCTACATCATAAACCATAAACCTCTAAACCCGTCAACCCTAAACCGTAAACCCGTAAACCCGCAAAGCCTAAGCCCCTAAACCCTATACCTCTAAACCCTAAACCCCTCAATCCTACTTCGTAATCCCTAAACCCCTAACCCTAAACCCGTAAGCCCTTCAATCCTAAACCCCTCAACCCTAAACCTGGCCTGCGGCCCATACTTCTCCCACAACCCGAGCTAATCACCCAATCAAGCCTTGAGACCGCTACCATACAGCCAAAATCTCATCTCTGGAGCCAAGAAAGTGCCTAATCCCATGCCAGTACCACGAGACCCTGCAAGCATAGACCCAGGACTCAAACCTCAACTTGCGTAGTTCAATGAACCTCTAATGTCCCTGCATGTTGTTACGAGAGGAGAGGGAGGGGAAAACCCTCAACCCCCATTACCCCCCGCAGATCCTCAGCCACAGGACCCTCAATCCTGAGTCTCACAGAAGTCCAAACAATCCCGATTGAAGTACTGTGCTGCCCCACTCGGATTGCATGTATGCGTGGATTCTGAAAAGAGCGCCGCCGTTCCGATCCAGAGTAATTACGAGGTATCGGACTATGCCTGGCATCCAGAAGGGCCAGTAATCCTCAGAACATCTTCTTATAGAAGTGTAATGACACAGCACCTACATAATCCACGAGCAGGACTCCCCCCCAATCTCCTAACAACTCCATACATCTCTAACATCCCCTTGGGCCCTGTCTCATTGCCCTACACCTCAAACCCTTCTAATCCCCCTTAAGTAGATAGAATATGGCTTTGGGCATATTCTAATAAGATCCCAATATACACCATATTCTATCTACTTAAGGGGGACATACCCCCTAAACCCTAACCCCATATTCTATCTACTTCAGGGGGACTATAACCCTAAACGCTAAGCCCCATATTCTATCTACTTGAGGTGAACTATAACCCTAAACCCTAAAACCCCATATGCCATCTACTTAAGGAGGACTATAACCCTAAACCTATAAGCGCTAAATCCCATATCCTATCTACTTACAAGGGGAATATAACCCTAGCCCTGTTTCACTGCCCTAAACCTGAACCCTCAAACCCTAAACCCCTAAACCCTAAATCCTACATGCTAAACCCTAAATCCCTAAACCCCTAAACCTTAAACCCCTGAACCCTAAACCCCCAAACCCCTAAAACCCTAAACACTAACCGTCTTATCCCAGCCAACTTTGCGCGAAGGGCCATGGCGCAGCCCTACGGAGGCTATGGAGGACCATGCTACGGCAATGGCATGCCAGGGCCTTGGCCAGAAGTTAAGGGTTTAGGATTTAGGGTTTACGATTTGGGGTCTAGGGTTTAGTATTTGGGGTTTAGGGTTTCTGGTTGAGGGTTTTGGGTTTGGGGTTTAGGATTTAGGGTTTAGGATTGGGGGTGTAGGGTTCAGGATCTGGGGTTGAGGGTTTAAGGTTTAGGATCTGGGGTTGAGGGTTTAGGGTCTAGAGTGTTGGGTTTAGGATTTAGGGTTTAGGGTTTAGGAAAGCTGCCCAGGGCATCCAGTGTAGTTCCTTTGAGGGGATCTAGGGAGCATAGAGGAAAATACAAGGGTAAGAATGGGGCTTAGGTGTAGGAATCCTATGCAGTTCTCCTGGTTTTTTAGGGAATTTAGTATGGTACCCAGAA